ATATATATTGTAAACTACACTAGGTAGGTGATGACACATTAATACATATTATTTATACATATACAATTTTTACAAATATATACACATTTGTAAAAATTTACTAATTATAAATACTTTATTACAGAAATTGCTTTTAGCCCTAGGTATAATTAAATTAATTAAAATATCTATAACTGTGAGGCAGATAATAGTAAAGGCTTATCACTGTATTGTCTATGTCCATTATCATTGGTGTGATAAGCCCTTACCTGCCTCACGGTTATAGATATTTTAATTTATTTATAAATACTTTATTACCAACGAACTTCTTAGCAAATACTGGAGGAAATATAATTCATCACACACAAAACCTTCTGAAACTCCAGTCATACGTGTTTACAAAACAGCGAACGTTTTCAGTTTCTTGTTCCATTTCGCACTTATTTGAATTCCTCATAACTGTAGCCTGAGGAAGACCCTGATAGGGTTGAAATGTTCACTGTTTTGTAAACACGTATCACTGGAGTTTTAGAAGGTTTTATGTGTGGTGAAAAATATTTTATTGCTCATAATTAAGAGTTCCAATTTCTTATTGTCTATCTGTTTAGAAGTAACTCCGAAAATTTTATAAAAAAACACCTCTCTATAAAATGGAACTTCTTTAGCTTAAACAACACCTTAAATAATAGATTTAATTGAAAAGTGACATATGTAGATGCGACAGATAGACCTTAATGCAAAGAATAAAAGAACATAAATATGACATTAGTAAAAATAAACAAACCACTGCACTGGCCCAAATAACCAGTAGGCCTGGCAAGTCGGCATGCTGGGACAAAGCAAAACTGTTAAAAAGATTATAATTATTTGCTTTTTGTCCAGTATTGTAATAAATCATCTTAACAGTTGTCCATGAGCTTTCCAATGAAAACTGTGGTATGATAAATCCTTAAAATTTATAGCAAATTACATACAGCTGTTAAGATTTATTACTGTTAAAAAGAGTTTTTTAACCTCAAACTATGAACACTAGAGGCATATGAAATATTCCTTGCTTCGAGGCCAGGTCAATGCATTATTTATAAAGAAAAAAATATGTTATCAAAAACTTGGCAATTGCTAGTAGACAACCCGATACAGCGATTGGACAACACATACTACACACAGTAAAAATCAAGTAAATCAGACTTACAAGTTGTCTTAAGCTTATCCCTTGTTGGCACTTTATAGTTTTTTACAATTTTACTCTTTTTCCCTCTAAAAAAGAACAGTGTCACTTCACTGACCTTCTTCAGATACAGGAGATACCTGAAGAAGGTCAATGAAGTAACACTGTTCTTTTTAGATTATAGAATTCACATATCTCCCAAAAAAGGTTGATTTAAGAATAATATTAAATGTTAGAATAATAAACGTTCTCTGCCTGATAAATGGCTGTGTATTGTTGTTAATGCTTGTGCAGTTATTGAAGGGTGTAAAGTATATACACCATTTGTATTTAACAAGGTGAGAAGATGACTTTTACTTATTTGATAACTATCCACTTGAATGAAAACATGCATGGGGCAAACTGACTTTTAAAAGCAGTGCCAGTTCTGGTGCATTTGGACTTATTTTGTCAGGATGTTAAAATTTCATAATGTTCTCATTTACATAAGTCCGAGACCACTAAAACTTTGTTTTATATTGTTTCTTAAACTCCATAGCTAAAATAAGTAAACTTCACAGTGGGTTTTGAATATTATTATTATATTTTTAAAACTGTTTTGAGTATTGTTACAGTATGACTATGATTTATAAGTACTCAATGCAAACCACTTGAAGACCTTTCTTGATTTATGAAAAGAAATATTCAACATAAGGAATGACCAATATTTACAGGAACAAAATACTCTTAATTGCAAATATGACGAGATTGAATTTCCGTCCATTCTGATTATATGATTTATAGTCTTGGTCTATATTTTTGCTTCATTTACAGTGTGTATATGATCATTTTATGTAGTGCCATTTGGTTAATGCAGTTATGCAGTATTTCTATATTATATTTCTATTAGTCATTTTAATTTTATTAATTAAAAAAGACAAATTTAGTTTGCTTATTTTCTGCTTGCTTTGTCTTGCTATAACTATTGCTAACTTGCCCTTAAATAAAGAAACATCTGATAAATTATATATATTTATACATATTTTTCTCTTGCATCATGTTTGCTTTTCTCATTTAGTGTTAATTCCTTTTAAGTCATTTAATTTTATTTCATTTAGAATTGCTGGTTGATTAGTAAATGGTTGTTTACTAATGTTATGAATTACGATTAATTTTTTGTGCCAGTTTTGATAAGTTTAATTATCTGACTTTGTTATGAATATATTTTTCTTAACGAACTAATGAAATATATAATTTAAAATGAAACTTACCAATCATTCTGCATTACTTTTAAATATATAATTTTTTTTATCTTTAATTAAGCAATCTATTATATTTTAATAGGCTTCGACAATCGATGGCCGAAGAAAAGGTGCTTGTCTTTTTTGCCAAGAATATTTTATGGATTTGTATTTGCTAGCCGAATTAAAGACAATTTCTCTCAAGGTAATGCTAATAAATTACTGTAAGATTTACAATTAAAATAAATAAAACTTTTTGTAGTCTTATGTAAAGTCAAATTACATTTCTTGCAATTACTTAGCATATTTTTTGAAAATTTTATGTATGTCAGACAAAATACAGAAGATTGTCAATTTTACAACTTCTTTATTTTACATAGGTAGACACTGGTCATCTTTAACATCACTCTTTATTCAGGAATATCTTACACTGATACGCGTTTCAGACATACGCCCCTCTTTCATATGCTTTTTCTTTAAGACATTTAGTAAAGAGGTGCTAACTAATACATATCCTTTTTTAAAATACATTTATTTACAGTTAAAATTTCCCAACAGTGCACTGACTTGATTCCTGAAAAACTGTTCTATTTCTCCTAAACTCTAATGAACTGCCCTATTTTCCATAAGCTAGGTGTTGTAAATTAAAATTAAGTTTTTGGGAATGTATTTATGAATGAATGGAAATTATACAATAATACAGTTATGCAACAAAAATATATTACTTCATACAGTGACAATAGAAAAATTATAGCACTTTTATCAATAAAGGTAGGAATTCGCTATTCAAAGAAAAATAAAATATTTGAATTAAGAAATATTTTGATAGAACACCATTCAAATATAACCAAAAAAAATAGATTATAAATTATGTTTAAAATGTTTAGACTAAAAAAACAAGTTTTACAAGATCGAATTATATAGTTTTTTACAAAATTTCAAATTTTATATCACATGTAATTAATAAATACTGTAAGTGATAAGCAATTTTATAAGTTTTTTTGCCAACTTCATGTGTATCTAAAAATAGATTTGTGCTCTTCAGATTTTACAGAAAACTCAAAACTTGAATAAAGTAATAAACAAATTACTTAAGTAATTTGTTTATTACTTTATTCAAGTTTTGAGTTTTCTGACTTGCCATCAGGGATGTTTACTTATATGCTTGTCTTCAGGATTTTTTATTAATCATGTATTTTGCATTTGTAATGTTTACAAACTTAGTCTTTTGAATTGCATTTGAATTGTAACACTTATAGAGCTCTATTTGTACAGTGAAATTATATTAACTTGGCATCAGGTATGCTGGCAAATTCGATAAGTCAGCACATTGAGCTTGTCATTGGGAAGGATTATCGTGTATTTTTCTTTACCATTGTCATAAAAAATTTTCAATATAAATATCATGGAAATGGAAAGACCAAGGTGACACGATATGCTAGGTAAAACCAGTTATCTCATGCATGATTTTTCAAAAACATTAGTGTATTGGTTCAATATGAGAAACAGAAATATTTAGCACACTCGGAATCAATCACAGAAACAGCTTTAGTACATTACTGTTTGTGTGCTTTGCTAATTAGAGTACGTCTGTACTTATAAATGATAAAAGTACAAAGTAAAAATAGTGGGTTGTTTCAAGCCAACCAAGGAAAAAATCAAGTGGTTGTTAAACAATCTTAAAAGACAAACTGTACAGTTTTACACACAAACATGTAAAATTGTGTCCAGGGAATTGAAAAAAACCAGAAAAACTAACATCTGGTAAGGTGGCATATTCAATAATCTGGCACTGCGTTAGTCCCAATGATGCCAAGTTAATGGAATTTCACAATAATTAATTAATTCATCTTAAATATAGATCGTGTCAATTATTTGATGATAAAAGTCATACATTTGAGTTGTGCTTTTAATTCAAGCTTTATTTTCTAACATTAGAATTTGTAAACTTATAAGGAAGAATATGTGGATTTAAGACAAAATAATATTAATGTTTTGTGCCTTATCTGAAGTCGAAGTTCTCAACAATGATTGTAATGATAAATACAACATAGATGATAACAGAATATTACCAATAGTTAAATTCAATGGTCTCCTAGTTTACCTTTTTTGATTTTAGTTTTAAAGAACAACACAAGTTTTTTGAAGTTCAGAGTTAATTGTATAAAAATGTTAAAATAAACATATATTTATAGATGCTATACAGTTATTTAATACTGTATATCATCTGTAAATAATGACTAAACAAAAACATTGTCATTGAAGGAACCTAGATTACTTGGAGGATGTATCACTTACGTTCATAACTGATAAATAACATGGCTTATTATTTTCAGTGCTCAAAAGTTGATCCTCTCAATTTACATTGAGAAAAATTCTAACAGGACGATGTGACTTTATGGGATGAAGTGTCTATCTAAAAGGTCATTTATCCTGCACTTGCCAAACACTTGGGATCATCAAAATTTATAAACACTGACTCTAGATTATCTGTAAAAACTATTTGGAATATCCAGAAAAGTTATAAAAGAACACTATAGAGGTATTTGTTTCATTAGGTAAAACACTTCTCTCATACAAAAGCTTTTGGATGTAAATTTAACTGTTTTGGCATGAAGTAGCTAGCTTGTTGAGAATCTGAGTTGGGGATAATCTTCAGTCAAGAGTCTTTGCAAAAAGTTTGATATTTAGTGTGGCTATCACTTAATTTCATAACCTGACAACAGCTTAGAAATATCTTAAAAATTCACTGGCTGTGTGTCATTAAGCAACTTATAATTTTTTTTAAATTTATTTATCTAATATTAGTTTTTAAGTTGTTTCTTTAATTAGATATTGATATTATAATTACTATAGTGACTGTTTTTAGATGATTCTTCTCATCAATTGTTTGTTTTTAAAAATCTTAGTTTGGAGTGCTAATCATTATATATTGGGTTGTTCGGAAAGTAATTTCGTTTTTTTACCACTAGACGGAATAATTGTATTTTTCTCGCCATTTTCATTCTAAACCGTATTATCATTATATTTTTCTGACAG